TTTCTTTCTTTCTTTCTTTCTTTCTTTCTTTCTTTCTTTCTTTCTTTCTTTCTTTCTTTCTTTCTTTCAATGAACCTTTGGATTTTAGATACTAAAGTTTGGCCACAGCATGATTTTTGGGTAAGATCCGAGTTCTATATTAACCTGCGTGAGTGGCTGGCCATTTAGAACCAGAAGAACCTTTTGCTTGAAGAGGCTGACCCACCTCTGAACCCAGTATTTTGGGGAGTGATACAGGGCATGTCTAGACTACATTTTTTTTCAAAAACACTGCCCTTTTTTGGAAAAAGCTTCACCTGGGTCCACATTGCAATCGCATTCTCATTCTTTCTAAATTAAATCGAAAGAATGCAGATTTTTGGGTTTTTTTACATTGGTAAACCTCAAATTACGAGGAAGAATGCCTTTTTCGAAAGAGTTCTTTCAAAAAAAGGCATGTGTGAACACAGAACAGGGACATTTTTCAAAAGAAGAGGCAGTCGAAAAAAGCACAGGTGCCCTGGTGGCCATTCTGTGAATAGCAATCAGGTCTTTCTTTTCAGAGAGTGTCCATCAGTCTTGACACTCTGTTTCGAAAAAACAGATCGCTTTTTTGATCCAGTTTTGAGGTATGGATGCTCTCTCTTGAAAGAAGCTTTTAGTCTAGACGTACCCACAGAGATTGGAATGCCTCAGTAACTGTTTTTGTGACTTCTTCTCTGCCAATGTGGTGACACGGAGGTTTTACGCTTTTGTGGCTGCTTTGGTATATCATGTGGCAGAAGAATCTGAATTTGATGTTCTCAGTTGTGAGCCACACAGACACAGCTACAGCAAGGTCTTTCCTCAAAGTCTCCAATGCACTGGGGAGGAATATCCTGGTGAAATGGAGGTAGCAATACTAGTTGAGGAATTAGGAAGACTCCCTGCCCTTCCTCTTCACAGGAACAAGGGCAGGCCTCAAGGCACCCACCATGGGAGTAGGGCATGCGCCAGTTGGGACTCAACCCCAGCTTGCAGGAATAGGACCACCACTGGCAGCCACCTCTTCCTAAGCTATGTCATCCTTCTTTGGGCGGCAGGTGGTGAGTGTTCCAAGGAGAGGTGGTGGCCCTTTAGCTTTTTGAGGTGGCTGAGAGTTTAAGGTGATGGACTTCTAATCCATTCTGCTCTGTACATGTGGGTTCAAATCCCATCTTGGTTGCTTGCTGACCTTTTCTTCTTTTGGCCTGTGGTGGCTACAGGGTCCTTCTTCCTGGAATTTTCTGCAATTTGCTGTCCAAACAACTCATACCATCAACAAGAGTAGTCAACATGCCTGGAAAGGGGATACCTCTGACCCTAGGAGCACCCCAGTGCCAAGTGGTCAGTGACAGTCTTTTCTGAGGAAATGAATTCCAGCTGGCCTGATCAATTCAGCCAAATCCGATTCACTGGGTTTCTAATCTGCATGTACACTGGCAGGTTCAACATACTTCCCCAAAGATTTCTAAATTAATTTGGCAGCCAGCAAAAAGTCTCTTTTCATCTATGATTTAGCTCCCTGACATCTTTGTGATAGAACAGCTGATTGGAAACAAGTGCTATACACCTGCCAAAGATTTCACTTGCAACATTCCAAAAAACTTGATAGAACTGTTGAAAAATACAACTTGAATCTGATCGTGATAAAGCATAACTTGGCACAACTGATAGTCTGATCAACAGATGGCCAGACTGTAAGGCTATGTCTAAACTTGCGGCTTCTTGTGCAAGGACATCTTGCGCAAGGGTTCTTGTGCAAGAAATCTTGTGCAAGAAAACATCCACACTGCCATGTGCGAGATGTGCTTTTGTGCAAGAGCTGCCATGGCAGTGTGGACGTTCTCTTGAACAAGAAAGCGCCGACGGCCATTTTAGCCATAGGGCTTTCTTGCGCAAGAAATCCCTGCTGAGCGTCCAAACAGCCCTCTTGCGCAAGAGCTCCTGCGCAAGGGGGCTTACAACTGTCAAAAAAGAGCGTAGCTCTTGCGTAAGGAGCCCCCTCTTACCATGCCGTACTGTAAATTTACTTCCGCAAGAGCAGGCGGGCAGTGTAGACGCTCTGCAGATTCTTGTGCAAGAACGGCTGTACTTGGAAAAAAGCCACGAGTGTAGACATAGCCCATGTATGTGGGTTACACAGGGATCAGCAACCTATGGCTCTGAAGCCAAGTATGGCTCGGTGCAGAAGCAAATATGGCTCCTATGTCATTCCCAAAATACGCGCAACTTTTTAAAGTAAAGTGAAAAATGAATTCAAAATTTTAAAAATGGGCAATTACTCATGTAGCTTGAATGCACACGTGAACTTAAATGTGGCCAGTTATGATGTAAACTTCAAAGAAATGTGTAGAAAGATGCAGCAGCAGCAGTCCCATGCAATAAAGTGTGGGACCACAATGTTTCATCTGTGCCATGATGAATCATCATGTCAATTATTACTAATATTAAGTTGTATATTTTCAGTCATTCAAGTGGCCTTTCTTATATGGCCCCACTCCCCCTCCCTTTACCCAGAGGTCTTCCTCACCTCACGACTCCCCCTTCCACTCTCCTGTGTGGCAGAGTTCTCATAATGGTGACATGGCTGTGCTCAGGATTCTTGGGGGACTGAACCCCCAGTCTCCTCATGGTCACCAAGGCCATGGCTACACTGCCGGTTATTTTGTGGAAGAAGATATGCAAATCGTGCTCACATTTGCATATCTTCTACCTATTCTTTTTGCGGAAGAGGTTTTGCCACTCTTTGGCCCCCATGTAGATGGGGCCAAATGTCAGAAAAAAAAACCCTCTTTCGTAAGACCCCTTATTCCTCGACAGTCGAGGTTTACAGGGTCTTGCAAAAGAGTTTTTTTTCTCGACCTTTGGCCCCATCTACCCAGGGGCCAAATATTGGCAAAACCTCTTCTGCAAAAAGACTCAGAAGATAAGCAAATGTGAGCGCGATTTGCATATCTTCTTCCGCAAAGAACGGCAGTGTAGCCGTAGCCTTAGATCAGTGTTAGTGTATCCCCACTTTGGGACATGCTCTTCACACCAGATGTTTCCCTGGCCCCACTGATTGCTACATTCAGGTCAAACCAAAAATAATTTATTCAATAGGAATTCTAAGCCAAAATAAGGAAAATATAGGAAAGTTTCAAGGAAACAATAAATTCTACATTGGGCAACAACGCAGTCATAGCAAGGAGGTAAGATATTCTGTCTCCTGGGCATTTGGTGGCATTCTGTGTTTCGCGTGTCTCACAAACCCCAAGATGAAAGTTCAACAGCTGCATTTGACATCTCTGACAACGTGACCAGTGCATGTGTGTTTTGAAAGTTCCAACTGAAAAAAGATGGCACAAAACGTTCAGTGATTTGACCCAAAGGTGATGATCATAGTTTAATACAGCAGACGTGTTCCCAAAAATACATAGACAGGTTCACAACTGTCATCCACAAGCTATAGTAGAATGTCCTCAGTAACTGCAGATGCTTTCTGGTATTAGAGCTTTCCAACTGAAACCTTTAGCTTATCCTCCAGACGTCCTGAAGGACGGGACATAGAATCAAAGAATCCTAGAACTGGAAGGGACCTCAAGCGGCCATTAAGTCCAGTCCCCAGCCCTCATAGCAGGACCAAGTACCGTGTAGATTGTCCCTGACAAGTGTCTGTCTACCCTGCTCTTAAATATCTCCAGAGATGGAGATTCTGCTTTTCCTGAAGTCCAACCTAAACCTCCCTTGCTGCAGTTTAAGCCCATTGCTTCGTGTCCTATCATCAGAGGCCAAGGCAAACAATTTTTCTCCATCCTCTTTGTAACACCCTTTTTTAGATACTTGAAAACCACTATCATGACCCCTCTCAATCTTCTCTTTTCTAAACTAAACAAGACCAATTCTTTCAAACTTCCCTCATAGCTCATGTTCTCTAGACCTTTAATCATTTTTGTTGCTCTTCTCTGGACCTTCTCCAATTTCTCCACATCTTCCTTGAAATGTGGTGCCCAGAACTAGACACAATTCTCCAACTGAGGCCTAATCAACACAGTGGAAGAATGACTTCTCATGTCTTGAGCACAACACTCCTGTTAATGCATTCCAGAATCATATTTGCTTTTTTTCCCAACACTTGTTTAACTTGTTGTCCACTATGACCCCTAAATCAGTGTGAAACTGATTGTTCCTAAGTGGAGTACTTTGCATTTGTCTTTATTGAACTTCATCCTATTTACCTCAGACTGTTTTTGTAGTTTGTCCAGATCATTTTGAATTATGACCAGGGCTTGACAAACGGTGGCGAAAGCCGCTCACCAGCCCTGCACTGCGCATGCGCAAGAGCCGCATTGCGCATGTGCATGCCGCTGGTAAACGGGGCACGTGGCTGAAATCTACTCGCCACGGACGAGTAGATTCTATAGTTTGTCGAGCTCTGATGATGACCTTATCCTCCAAAGCACTTGCAACCCCTCCCAGCTTGGCATCATCTGAAAACTTAATAATTGTACTCTCTATGACATCATGGAAAAGTGAAGCAAATTTTACTCACCATATCACTGTACATATGATAAAGAAATTCAGTATTATTGTTTCTTTCTTTGTCTATGTCTATCTGAAAGCATATCTTTAGTTTGTCAAACTCATCAAGAGCCCAGTTCACACAAAGCCTAATGGGAAGCCACTTTGCATCAGAAAGCTGAAGTATCTTCTGGTGGTCTGGAAGTCAAGAAAATTCTGAGAGACAGCGTGTGGGAGAGTGGGGGCTGATGGGTGATGCTGAAAGAGATCAGGTGATAGTCAGAGAGTGGAAACTAAGGAACACAGGGAAAGCAGCATTTGGTGACGGCGTGACAAGACATTAAGGGCGAGGAACTTCTCAGACTCTGAACTCCCACCATGTTTAGCAACCACACTGGAGTGGAGCACCATTGGTTAATAGGGAGATATTCTTTCCCTGTCTTGTCACACAGGTTTAAAGTCAGTGGCTCCTTGTGATCACCTTCTGCAGGTGTATTGGCTCACTTTGACACGAAGCTCTTTGAAGACTTTTGCCCAAACGGGAGCAGCGAAACAGCCAAGATGATATGAATGTGGGGAGCGATGCCGTGACCGAACCGGTGTGTGAGGGTGGAGAACAGGAAGAGAATACAAGATATCAGCATCACACAAATGTGGGCAGTGCAGGTGTTGAGAGCCTTCGGATGGGCCTTCTTGGAGGAGATTCTGAGGACGGCCCTGATGATCAGACAATAGGACAAGGCAACGAGAGTCAGGTCTAACCCAATGACGACAAATGCCATCACCAAACCATACGTCCTGTTGACTGTGATGTCCCCACATGACAGCTTTGCCACAGCCATGTGCTCACAGTACGTGTGGGGGATAATCCGATTGGCACAAAATGGCAGCCTGCTGAGGAGCAGGGGTAGGGGCAGCATAAAGAGAATATGAATGTGGGGAGCGATGCCGTGACCAAACCGGTGTGTGAGGGTGGAGAAGAGGTAAAGAATACAAGACGTCAGCATCACACAGATGTGAGCGGTGCAGGTGTTGAGAGCCTTCGAATAGGCCTTCTTGGAAGAGATTCTGAGGACGGCCCTGATGATCAGACAATAGGACAAGGCAACGAGAGTCAGGTCTAACCCAATGACTACAAATGCCATCACCAAACCATACGTCCTGTTGACTGCGATGTCCCCACATGACAGCTTTGCCACAGCCATGTGCTCACAGTACGTGTGGGGGATAATCCGGTTGGCACAAAATGGCAGCCTGCTGAGGAGCAGGGGTAGGGGCAGCATAAAGAGAACAGATCTTATCAAACCCACTAGCCCTAGCATAGCGATGCGTGCATTGGTGAGGATGGTGGTGTATCTCAGAGGGTTACATATGGCCACGTAGCGATCAAAGGCCATTGTCACCAGGACGGCTGAGTGCATCACAGAAACTGCATGGAGGAAGAACGTCTGGGTAAGGCACCCACCTTCAGTAATGCCTTTCAAATCAAACCAAAATATACACAGGGCCTTCGGCACAACAGATGTAGATATGCCGATGTCGGTGAGCGCCAGCATGCAGATCAACAGATACATCGGTTGGTGCAGGGTCTGTTCTTTGCCTACAACAAACAGAACTATGAAATTTCCCACCAGGCCAATAACGTAGCAGGCACAGAAAGGGATGGAAATCCAGACGTGGGCAGCTTCCAAGCCAGGGATGCCCATTAGGATGAATGTTGGAGACTCAGATACAGTGAAGTTGAATGCTGCCATGAGGTAGTTGATGCATCGATTGGGCTCAGAAATGCTCAGGCTGCCTGTGAATGGAACATAAGAACATAAGAATGGGGCCCTACTGGGTCAGATCAAAGGTCCATCTAGTCCAACCTCCTGGCCTCCTGGCAATGGCTATTGGCAGGTGCTTCCAAAGGGAAAGAACAGAGCAGGAAATCCTCAAGTGATCCATCCTGTTACCCATTCCCCTTCTGACAAACAGAGGCTAGGAACACCATTCCTGCCCATCCTGGCTAATAGCCATTGATGGACCTAACCTCCATATATTTATCTAGCCCACTTTTGAACCCTGTTAGGGTACATGTACACAGAAGGGCAAAACTCCAATTAAGCTACACAACTCAAGCTATGTCTGGTGCTGTGTACACTCTCTTCCTTTGACTTCCTTTACTCCTCGTAAAATGAGAGTTACAGAAGCTGGAGTAAAAGGTCCTCCAGGTCGAGATTGTTTTGAAATAAAGGCTTGTAGTAAAGACCAGCGTTTCCCAAAAAAATGCTGGGCCTCGGCGTGCCTGGTGGCTGCCGGCCCCGCGCCCCTGCACCTGGAAGTGCCGGCGAGTTAAGAGCCGGGCCCTGCTCCAGCGCTATGTGGAGCTGGGTCTCTTCCCGGCTCTGCCTGGAGCGGGCCTCACCCCCGCGTGTCCTCTCCGGCCCCACCCCCAGAGCATCCCTTCGGCCCCGGATGTCTCTGCCACGCGTGGCTCCTCCTCGCCGCCTGCCGCCCATGTGTGGCATTGCACGTGGGCGGGGAGGATGTGACGTTATGGCCCGGGGTTTTGAAACCAGCAGGAGGCACATGGCGGGGCCTGGCTGGCTCCAGGTTCGGCCTCCGGGGCCTGAGCGCAGACCCCAGCCCCGTAACGGGGAAAGAGGTGGTGGGAACCGGCTCGTGCGGTGGCTAGGAAAGGAGAGGGGTGGGGAAAGGGGTGGAAGGAGAAGGGGCTTGGGAGGGAAAGGCACCAAGGGACAGGGGTGCGGGAGAGAGAGACAAATGCCAGGGGGCCAAGTGCAGACCATGAGGGAAAGGGCAGGAGGGGAG